TCACGACATGTCGATCGGATGACACCACCGTTCAATCGGAAAACAAAAAGGCTAGGAGGACGAAAAGAAATGAGGTTCTGAAACTCACCCGAACGTCAAAAATGGAGTTTTTCTGGAAAAACTTTAAAACAACTCCCTCCAGAAAGTTCAGGAATCAACAATGGGTCTGCTGGCTCTGTGATTTTGAGAGAAAGGGCAGTCGACGATGGCAGAAGAAACGAGAACTCCGGCGAAGATCCAAGAAGACGTACTCTGAGGAAAGTTTGAAATGGCAAAACGAAGGAAACCGGAGAGGAACCGCCTTTATATAGGGGCAATTTTCATCATTGGGCGCGAAGACCGAAACAGCGCATTTAATGCGCACGACATCCCAAGCCGGGGAAAGCAGCTCGAGGCCATGATGAAGGACGGGTGGTAGTTGGAAAACCCTTCGTCTCCTTACAACGCGTGTCCTCGGTGTCAGAAGATCGAAGGCTGGGGGGCAGTTGATGGGACTTTTCTGAAATGCCCTATGATGAAGACACGTGTCCTCGATTTTTGCTAAAACACTGTTGCTTGGATCAAGCACCATCGGCGACGAATGTCCTCGCCCACGAGGTACCTCATATATAGGATCATGCATTCAGCATATTTTACAACAACACATGTCCTCGGTCATCCATGTACCTCGGTCGCATACCTCCCTTGGTCCCCGAGACGAGCCTTTCCTCGGTGCCGAGTTACTCCGTCCTGGACGCTTCATCTACTCCGGGATAAGCTATTGACGTATAGGTCACTAGCCTAGTCTAGCCTAGGCTGCTCATCATGACCTCGTTTTACACAAGTAATGTCAGAACATACTGGAATACAGAGGTCACAACCGATAGGGGATGGATGCGTGGCAAATGATGTCACATCAAAGACAGACANGCTATTCATCATGACCTCGTCTTACACAAGTAATGTCAGAACATACTGGAATACAGAGGTCACAACCGATAGGGAATGGACGCGTGGCAAATGATGTCACATCAAAGACAGACAAACCGCACGCCGTTGCTGACACGCGGCTTGGGAAAGCAAACAATTAATTGCACTCTTCTGTTGATGAGACCGCATTCAATGCGGTAAGGCTCGGAAATGAAAGGCAATAAATGCTCCTATTACAGAACATTTATTGCATCCTCCCCGAGAGGAGCGTATTGTACCGTCGGCATCCCGACGACTCAGCATTGATTGCTCGGGACCTCGAGCAATCAATTAGAGAAGACATTCCTCATCAGAATCAATACACACGTTACCTGTGCCTAATGATCACCTACTGACCACACTGACAGCAATCATGAGCTTTTAAGGTATAAATACTCCTCCCAAAAGGCAAAGCGGGTAGGCAATCACAAACTCTCTACTACAATACATTTTCTCAGTGTTTTCTCTTTCATCTCTCTCTCACTCAAAGACTGACTAGACCGTCGGAGAGGATACGCCGGAAAACAGTTCGACGCTCTTCTAACTTGTTCTTCTTTGTTCCAGAATCCTTTTTTAGCCTTGCTGGATCGTTCTCCCTCTCACCCAGGGTCTCCCGTTGCCGTTCCAGGTTACCATCTGACCTCGCAGGCTGTTCCAAGCAGCGTGGTTGGTCACTCAACCGGCTCACGCAAAGTTCATCAAGGGAGAGAGCTGTTCCCATTTTTTATATTGTGCAGGATCTTGCACGCACAATTACCAATTATGTTTACAAAGTTTAATCAGTAAGTAAATGGGTAAAATATGTTGCAATAACTCAAAATGGATAATTATACAGGTAGATGTGCATATATAAACTCTTAAATCGCTGACATAAACAACTGGATCGTGATGTTTGGTTTTACATCCTGCATGACACAATATGTCACAATAATGATGATGGGGTGCTTGCTAGTATACGGTACCGCCTATTTGATAAGTCAAACGGATAACTTGCTACAATGAACGAGTATTGTATACTCCATCGAAGATATATAAAGTATTTGTGGTTTGACTGACCGATCGTGTTACAAAGGGTTCAGATTACTTCTTGCGTAGCCAATGGGTTTAGTAAAAGAAGGGATACAATATGTAAGAAGTACCATAAATTTACAGGGGGGAGCACCAAGTTTTTGTGCTACCTGGTATCTTTACAAGGGTTATACTTCGACACTGAAATTAGCCCATTACATAAAAAAAGTATCAGTTAGAGGCGTTTAGAGCTAGATGATCTACGTTTGAGTGTTCATTTGTTTTAGCAAATAAATTTTATTTTTATTTTGATAAAAAGACAGTATTATAATAAACCTCGAAATATGTCCAAAAGCGTAGGCAAATACACAACCAATCTAAACACAAGGACTTGGGTCTGAATTCAAATTGGTTTTGTAATCTTGGATATGGACTCATGTTCTTGTTTGTAACTTGGTGTCCACTACTCTCCAATGGAGTTGATGTGCCATTTGAGTCACCTATTCATGGCCTTCAAACCTTGGGAACCTTCCCATTTCTGTCTGTTCTTGCCGGCTGTTCAATTTCCTACTAAAAAAAACTTGAATGAGATCGTGTGTGAAAACAAAGCTTGACTGATGGATTATTATCATGAAAGTCACAGATAAGACAACCCGTTTTCACATTAGGAGTACCGCCATAAAAATTTTAGTATCATACTTCAAATGATATTTTTATAACTTGTTGTTAGTCATTTTATAACTAAAAAATTTATAATTTTTGTGTATGATTTATTTTTTTTGTGGGTATTTTTATTGTTGTTGTGATAGTTATTTTTATCACTTTTTTTGGATACAAAATTTTTTTTTATCACTTTTATCGATGATTTACAACTTTTGTGAGATTTGTTAATCACTTTTATGAGTGTTTTTATTACTACAATAATAAAAATACTCACAGTAATAATAAAAATACTCATAAATATAATAAATTTTGCTATAATATTGAAACTGTCAAACAAATTGTTTTTGTTCAGGTAATTTTACTATTCCCTCTATTTATAAATATTTGTCGTTTTATATTTTTTTTTGTTTCACAATATCTGTCGTTTAATAAAATCAAAACATAATTAATATTTTTTCTTCCAAATTTATCCTTAATTTTTCAAGGCATTAAATTTGGTGGAGGTTAAGTGTTTTTCATATTTCTTTCCTTCCCAATACGTATTGAATAAGGGTATTTTATTCTTGTACAAATATTTTTAACTCATATTAGAACTATTTAATAGTTTCTTTAATTCGTGTATAAAAATTTTAAACGATAGATATTTAAGAACGGAGAAAATATTAAAAAAATAATTTTTTTGTGTCAAAATCAATCATTTTCTTTGGCAGATACCGGTAAGTTTCTGAGAAATTGTTTTCCTACATTCTAGCCAGTGCATCTTCTAAACGTATGCATTACGCTGTCGCTTCAGACTTAATGGCCACTACTTCATCACTTTGACCGGACGACAAGCACCCCCAAACAAAAAAAAAATAAAAAATCAAACCTAACCTAACCCCCAAGCAATTTTTTCAAGTTAGAGTTGAGTTTGTATTGAAAACGCGTCGATAATTTTGAAATTTAAGTTGGGGTTGAATTGACCTCTTAATTTCTATCAAACCCACTCGGCTTGCGTTCCTACCTTTCATTGTTGGGATCTTTTCACACCTATTAAATTGTGTCCGGATAATTTTGTTGTTGAGTAAAAAAAGAGCTAAATCTTATTTACTAATTTTTTATTTAATTTTACTCAATAATAAATTATTTATCGTATTTTAATGACCAAAAAATATAAATAAACATTTGTAATTTATAATTGGTTGAAACTAAGTAAAGAATCGGGATACTTTTGACAAAAAAAGAAGCAATTGTTTCAACTTATCCATGAATCATGTGGGTATCTGACCCGAATCAAAAGATAAAACCATGATGACACAGTGATTGTGTGTATGGTCAAGAATACGACTAGCTATTTTTTATTCAAGAAACTATAATAGTTTAATGGGTAAAGTATATTTTTTGTCCTTAAAAGTATGTTTTTAGTGCATATTTGGTCTCTAATTTTTTAATTATTTTTATTTGGTCCATATTTTTTTTTAATTTATTTCTACGTAATCTAATTTCAAATGTCCATAAAAAAATTGTGCTGATTCTAATTACGTGCCAATCATGCGGTTTTTAATTTTGTGTTTATTTAGTCATTAAAATTCTTAATTTGTTACATTTAGTCTCTAAATTTTTAAATTTGTGTCTATTTGATCTCACGTGATTGACACGTGACCAAAGACATTAACGATTTTCTGACAGACATTTTAAATTGAGCCACAAAAATATAAATTAAGAACCTCATATATCAAATAAATAAAATTGAAATGTTAAAGACTAAATAAATATTACACGCATACTTTAAAAACTAAAAATATATTTTACCTTAATTTAAAAGCAGACAATCATTCAGGCCAAAAAGTGGATGTATTAGCATGAGGGGAGCCAGGATTTAATCTTGAGATATCCAATATGGATTGTGGAGAAAAGAGCTACTTGGTTGGATAGTGTGGCTCAATGCTGTGGTTTAGAATAACTCGGGGGTCGTGGCCTTCTTGGGCCATAATGTCGCTCCATCACCGGATGTATGAGTTCAAATTTTAGCATATCTATTAATAATAGACAATTCTTTTTAACAAAGTTATGTTAACCAAGATTTGTTATCGTGTTTTTTGTCGTAAACACACTTTTTATTTTATTTATCAATTAATTGGAGACAGTAAACCCTTTAAACAAAAAAAGTCGGCACAAACTTGATATACTTTGTTTATATATGACACGGACACGATACAAATCTAATAATACATAATTATAAATAAGTCAGGATATGAATCGAACAAATTTGAATATCAGAAACCCAAGACACTAGTCTCTGAATGGTCTGCAGAAGCAACGTTGTGAAAGCGTTGACCTACATGGAAATGGCATATACCACAATATGCCGGAGTGAGGGCAGTAGTCTACTTAAATGGATCTGACTCGCCTTAAATAGCCGGCCACCACTCCTCCTCCACCATTCTGTTCTCTGTTTCTCTCTCTCTCTCTCTTCCTTCAGTTCTCCCTCGCAAACTGAGAATATCTTTGTGGGCAGGTATGACCCTCTCCCGCTCCCGCTCCTCCTGCCTCACTCTCTCTCTCTCTCTCTCTCTCTCATATATATGTATATATCATTTGTTATTGATACGACTATATGAAAGTTGATTCTAGTAGGAATTTTCTCCCTTTGTGATTATTATCTCTCAATTCCCCTATTAAGATGGTACTAGACAGATGATAGTAATTGTTCACCTTCTGCAAAAATTAAGGCATTCCCAGTAGGAATTCTTTAACTGTTAGGCCTCTGAAAAATCGTATAAAGCAGGGAGAACTTATCATACAGATACAGATACCCATGGGTCTAATTTTTCTTTTTCTTTTTCTTTTTTTTTTTTTGAGACTTTTGCTTGTTTGAAAAAATAACATTTCTTTTGTTAAACCATTGCATTCAGAGATACTTATCTCAGATAATTATATTTGGATAACTCTATTTCTTGGTAAATACAAAAAATGGGTTGTCCAGTAGTCGAGTCTTTTTTCTTGTAAGCAATAGGCCTCAAATTCGATACTTTTCATATCCCTAAGAGTTAGATATCTATGTTCCTTAGAGAACATATTCTCAAACAAATTCAAGTTAGGATAATTGACTCAGAGAGTTTGAGAAAATAGTTAACATAAATTCGAACACCTTGTAGTACAAATTTTTTTTTTGTCTAATTTGACAAACTACAAATTACTGGTTTGTTTAACCTCTGGCCGGCCTTCTAGGATGATTTTATCTTCTATTTTAGAAGAGATAACAATGGCAAACAGTGTCTGATTTCTATTCGTTGGATATAGTTTAACACTAGCAAGCTACTCAGTTGCCCATAATCACCTGATTTACTCATCAATTGTCAAAAGAGAAAAACTACGGCAATCATCGTCAATCGGTTGATGAATTCATATGAGTATTTATTATTATTATTGTTGTTGTTGTTGTTTTGTAATTTCCACTTGCTTCAACAAAGTTTTAAGTTTCTGTGGTATAGTCAGTCCGATATTCTATCTAAACCATCTCGAGATAAATTTCTCCGGTCTGAGTAAATATCACTATTTTTGTGGTGGTTAAGTATCAATATCATATAGTTCATCGAGCAAATAAATTAAATAACGCAATATAATATGCATGTAGTGGACTAAGTATTCCTATGACTATATATCACTACCACAACACAAAATTGACAATTAATCAAATCCGTCACAGTAGTAGTTGATGGGTTATATAGTTCCTTAGGTTCCTTGAAAATTCAACACAAAACCCCATAAATAGTTCTTGATTGGTTTTTCTTTATTCCTGCTAATGACCTATTACCTTTTTTCATCTTTTAGTTCTTTGTTCCTGCAATTTCATGATTGTTCTTTCATCGATCAATATTATTTTATTAAGGGAAATGCCACATCGTTTTGTCTTTATTTTTCGGTCCCATTTTTTAATCAATCTAGTGTTGAGCTTTTCTAATTCAGCAACCGCAGCTGATAAAAAATCATATATATGTTTTAATCTCTTTCTTGATCTAATGCAGAAAATCTTTGAAGAACTGTAGGAAGAAACTGCTACGTACCATAACTAGCCATGCCTAGAGAACAATTGCAAGTGCTTAATGCACTTGATGTGGCCAAGACCCAATTTTACCATTTCACTGCAATTGTGATTGCTGGAATGGGATTCTTCACAGACGCCTATGATCTCTTCGCCATTTCCCTTTGCACCAAGCTATTGGGGCGTATATACTACTTCAAGGATGACCCAAAAAGGCCCGGCACCTTACCGCCCGGCGTCCAATCTGCAGTCACTGGCGTTGCCCTTGTGGGCACCCTCGCTGGCCAGCTCTTCTTCGGTTGGCTCGGAGACAAGATGGGACGAAAGAGAGTCTATGGCTTAACCCTAATTCTCATGGTTACATGCTCACTTGCCTCGGGGCTTTCTTTTGGGAACAGCCCAAAGGGTGTCATGGCTACCCTTTGTTTCTTCAGGTTTTGGTTAGGTTTTGGCATTGGTGGCGATTACCCTTTATCTGCCACGATCATGTCTGAATATGCTAACAAGAAAACTCGTGGCGCGTTCATTGCCGCAGTTTTCGCAATGCAAGGTTTCGGGATACTGATTAGCGGGATTTTTGCTCTAATTGTTTCAACTTCCTTTGATCATGCATACAAGGCTCCTTCTTATGAAACCAATCCGGCCGCTTCCACGGTGCCTCAAGCAGATTATATTTGGCGGATCATTTTGATGTTTGGGGCTATTCCAGCAGCTCTTACTTACTACTGGCGTATGAAAATGCCCGAAACAGCTCGTTACACCGCCCTTGTCGCGAAGAATGCAAAACAGGCAGCACAAGACATGGCTAAGGTATTGAATGTGGAGCTTGACCCTGAAGAGGCCAAGTTGGAGAGATTAACTGAAGATCGAGCCAATTCTTTTGGTTTGTTTTCCAAGGAATTTCTTCGACGACACGGACTTCACTTGCTTGGAACAACTTCAACTTGGTTTTTACTGGACATAGCTTTTTACAGTCAAAATCTCTTCCAAAAAGATGTATTCTCTGCAATTGGGTGGATTCCTAAAGCCAAAGAAATGAACGCTGTTCATGAGGTTTATCGAATTGCGAAGGCACAAACCCTAATTGCACTGTGCAGTACTGTTCCAGGGTACTGGTTCACCGTGGCTTTCATTGATATAATTGGAAGGTTTGCAATCCAAATGATGGGATTTTTCTTCATGACTGTGTTCATGTTTGCTCTTGCCATTCCATACCATCATTGGACACTAAGGCCTAATCGTATCGGGTTCGTAGTCATGTATTCATTCACGTTTTTCTTTGCGAATTTCGGGCCTAATGCCACTACCTTCGTTGTGCCTGCTGAAATCTTTCCAGCTCGGCTACGGTCTACATGCCATGGAATATCAGCAGCAGCAGGCAAGGCCGGAGCCATAGTTGGGGCGTTCGGGTTTTTGTACGCTTCACAAAGCACAGATCCATTGAAGACTGATCCTGGCTATCCAACTGGTATTGGTATAAGGAATTCTCTTATTGTGCTCGGGTGTATCAACTTCTTGGGAATGTGTTTCACTTTCTTGGTGCCTGAACCGAATGGAAAATCGCTTGAAGAGTTATCTGGTGAGAATGAAGAAGAAGGTGTGGAACCAAAGGTGGAGAACAGGACTGTTCCAGTGTAGTTTGGTTGTGTTTTTTAAGTGAAACAGAAGAATTGCAGATCAAGCTACTCAAAAGTTCAAATTTGGTTTCTCGTTCTTAATAATGAACAATATTTCTTCAGAGATGTGGTAATTTGTAGGTAATTATAGAGTTTGTGTGTTGGATGTTATTGTATGCGATTTACGTGTCTTTGTTAATGTATATTTCTTGCACTTTTTCTTTTTCATGGACTTACTCTTTTGATTTTGCTTTGAGATGTTGTTGGCAACTAATTCTACATAGAGCAATGATACATGAATTTAAAAAATAAACTTAAAATTTAAAAAATAAACTTAAAAATTAGGCTCGATAATTACAATAATTAATTTCACTGTAGGTCTCAACATTTATTAGGATTTATTACCTATTTAATAATTGAGATTATCAAGTCTAATTTTTAAGTTCATCTAGCATTACTCCGCTCAAATATATTCAAACCTAATTTGCAAGTACAAGGGGAAGAGGGAGCAATGATATGATAGTGAAATGTATTTAATGATATGTCACATTATAATATTAAATGAATTCATTATAAGAGTAATGCTATTGAGACATAATTTATGGATATAATTTGAGAACATAATGAGTTGTCACCAATGATATAATAATGAATTAATTTCATGCTACAATGAGACTCATTATTAAATACATTCCACTATCATTTCATTGGTAACAACTCATTATGTCCTCAAATTACGTCTCTAAATTATATCTCAATAGCATTAGTGTTCAAATAAATGCAAATCATCTTTTGTGATTTGATGCTTTGTTTGGTTGTCGAAATGTAGTGTTTATAATGATCTGTATTTTTCTTAGCTCATCAGCTAAGTGTATTCCCAACTCTAAGTAAAAACGAGTTTTGAGGGAAATAATGGCTCAAGACCGATACTCTCCCCGGAATTCTAATTACTAAAGTTGAAGGTTTTGTTGTGCTTTTGGGGCGTTTGACTTATGAAAAATACCTTCCTGTTGCTTGCACAATTTTTTTTGATTTAAAATAATTTATTTTTCTTCCCACCCCAAAAAAAAAAATAATAATAACTCTAATTTAAAGAAACTGGGGACACCTTATGCACTTGTATATTTTTTATTAGACGGTAATACTATATAATAATGTTAATGTTGTGTCATATTACATTGAAGATTGACGCCACTTAGGGGTCACCAATGGATTTCTCCCTATATTTTATGTCGTAGAACTGATCGACAATGAATCTAACAAGCCCTAAAAACTAATTTCCATTGTTAAGATCACCACTTTTTAATTTTTTTTTTCACTTTTAAAATTGAGCTTTTTTAAAGGTTAGATTTGACTTTCTAAATTGATAATAATTAATTTATGTAGTGGTCAACATTAGAAATAACTCGTGCTGAAGGTAAGGTATAATGTATGATTTTGATAGATATGTTGGTGGCCTTTGAATTAGTCTATTTGAGACCATCAGATAAACTTATTGAAATCTGTCATGTTATATATATATATATAACCGAGAAGTCTGTGTGCAAAACGCGTTAGTTAGAGCCCATTTTCATTAGATAATGTAAAATTTTTAACTAATATAAATGCATTTGCATAGAAAATTGTAGATTATTATAATACAGTTTATGTTTCTATTATGAGTAATGCTACATGAACTTAAAAATTAGACTCGATAATCTCAACCATTGAATAGGTAGTAGATCCCAATAAATGTTTGGATCCACAATAAAATTAATAATTGAAATTATCAAATCTAGTTTTTAAGTTCTTGTTGCATTGCTCTTCTATTATTAATGTTCGTAGTCCTTTGAGCATAGAAGAGCAGACTTACATCTTGTTCGGTGCTACACAATGAACAGATAACTTGAAATATGCATATAACGCAGAGATCATATTTGATTAGTGAACTATGCCCAGCTATATACAATAGTCCAAGAGAAAAATAAATAAGAAAAGTCTTTCTTTTTAGAAAAGAGATAGCAAGGATGTCAAACAAGGCCATAAAAAATACAGATAGACAATTAAGTGAGAAAAAAAAAAAGGGTGCAAAATAGAAGAAAAGAAACAAAAAATAAAAAAAAATAAAAAAAAATAAAAATTATAGTCCACAAACATATATTGCATAAATAGCTAGAAAGACTAACCCTTTTCACTTCCTGGCGAGGTATGCTGTGCCGATTGAGGAGCAAACTTCTAGTGAATTCTTCATAATGCTTAGTAAAATTAGATTTTTTCTGTACAATGAACAAAATGAAAACTAAAATAGTACTAATACTCTCATACTCGTGTGACAAGGAATATAATGTAAGTTGAAATTATAACTTTAGAAACGCCGAAGAAAAAGCAAAGAACCTGACCTTAGATTTGTTGCGGCGATGCCTATAATTGAATCTATCCTCATAACAAGGTGCTCTGATTTTGCATCCCCTTCAGTAACTTGAGCACCTGAAAGTTTATAATAAACCAAATTAACAAAAACTCCAATAGATCAAACTTGAATTCAGTAGATAAAATATACAGGAAGAAGAAAAAGAAATGAGTCATAGAGAACCTTATCCATGTATCATATGGGTCTCCGACCCGAATCAAAAGATTAAATAATGATGACACAGTGATTGAGTGCTTGGTCAAGAAAAACACTAGCTATTTTTTATTCCGCTTTCACATTAGTATGAATGTATTTACAAGTTAAGAAACTATAATAGTTTAATGGGTAAAATACATTTTTTCCCTAAAATATGCGTTTAGTGTATATTTGGTTCCTCAATTTTTTAATTGTCTATTTGGCCCATAAAATTTCTAATTTGTATTTACATAATTTAATCACAAACGTCCATCAAAAAATCGTGACGATTCTGATCACACGTCAATCGCATGCTTTCTAATTTTGTGTCTATCTGATCCCTAAAATTCTTAATTTGTGCTTATTTGATTTCTAAAGTTTCTAATTTGTGTCGATTTGGTCCCAAGGGATTCGCATGTGACCAAAGACATTAACAATTTTCTAACATACATTTAAAATTGGACAACATAGATATAAATTAGGAACTTTAAAGACCAAATAGATACAATTGAAATATTGAGGACCAAATAGATATTACATGCATAATTTGAAAATTAAAAATATATTTTACCCTAGTTTAATAAAACATACAATCATTCGGGCCAAAAAATTTACTAGATAGATCCTTTTTGATCTTTCTCATTTGTGCACTCTATTTGTATTGGTCTTCTAAATAAGTAAAAAATAGATGCCTCGGCCAAGTGAAATTGAGGACTTGACTAACCAAAAAAATATGAGGGGTTGACAAAGTGGATGTATTAGCATCAGCGAAGCCAGGATTGAGATATCCAATGTGGATTGTGGAGAAAAGAGCCACTTGGTTGAATAGTGTAACTCAATGGTGTGGTATTAAAATAACTCGGGGGTCATGGCTTTCTTGGGCCATAACGTAACTTCATCACTAGACATCAAGAGTTCGAATTATAACATATTTATTAACAATATACAATTCTTATCAAGATTTTCATTTCAAATAATGTGACATAGTTTTGACCTTATTTATCAATTAGTTGAAGACACTAAATCCCAGATATGAATCGAATAAATTTGAATACCAAAAACCTAGATACTAGATTAACCCAAACAATGAGACTAGGTTAAAGGCTAGTTTTGTGATTGGGTTTGCCAAACACATGAAGAAAGTTTCAAACGATATATATATATATATAATTTATTAGGAAGTTGTACAGCTAGTGCTGAGAGTTGAGGAAGAAGAAGCAACGTTGTGAAAGAGTTGACCTACATGGGAATGGCATATGCTACAATATGCCACAATATGCCGGAGTGGATTCAGGGCAGTTGTCAACTTAAATGGATCTCACTCGCCTTAAATAGCCAGCCACTACTCGTCCTCCACCATTCTCTTCTCTCTCAATCTCTCTCCCTTCAGTTCTCCCTCACCAACTGTGAATATCTCTGTGGCAGGTATGACCCTCTCCCTCTCCCCCCCCCTGCCTCACTCTCTCTCTCTCTCTCTCTCTCTCTCTCATATATATATCTAGTTGTGTATATCTATGTGTATTTATACGTATTCAAGGATGAGTTTGAAACGAGAACTAAAATGGTTTTGAAATATATGATTGAAAATATCATTTGATATTGATACGACTATATGAAAGTTGATTCTAGTAGGCGTTTTCTCTCTATGTGATATTATCTCTCAATTCCAATATTAAGATGGTACTAGACAGATGATAGTAATTGTTCACCATATCATACAGATACCCATGGGTCTAATTTTTCTTTTTCTTTTTTTTTTTTCTGGGACTTTTACTTGTTTGAAAAAAAAACAATTCTTTTGTTAAACGGTTGCATTCAATGATACTTATCTTAGATAATTTTATTTTGGGTAATTCTATTTGCCGGTAAATACAAAAAATTGTCAACCTTTAGGAATAGTCTAGAAGTCAAGTCTTCTTTCTTGCAAACAAAATATCTTAAATTCGATATTTTTCACACCTTTTAAGGGTCATACATTTTTGTTCATTATGCACATGTCCTTAAACTAACTCGAATTATGGTGAACAACTCAAAGTTCGAGAGAATAATTGGCATAATCTTGAACATAAATTTATTATTATNGTGATTGGGTTTGCCAAACACATGAAGAAAGTTTCAAACGATATATATATATATATAATTTATTAGGAAGTTGTACAGCTAGTGCTGAGAGTTGAGGAAGAAGAAGCAACGTTGTGAAAGAGTTGACCTACATGGGAATGGCATATGCTACAATATGCCACAATATGCCGGAGTGGATTCAGGGCAGTTGTCAACTTAAATGGATCTCACTCGCCTTAAATAGCCAGCCACTACTCGTCCTCCACCATTCTCTTCTCTCTCAATCTCTCTTCCTTCAGTTCTCCCTCACCAACTGTGAATATCTCTGTGGCAGGTATGACCCTCTCCCTCTCCCCCCCCCTGCCTCACTCTCTCTCTCTCTCTCTCTCTCTCTCTCATATATATATCTAGTTGTGTATATCTATGTGTATTTATACGTATTCAAGGATGAGTTTGAAACGAGAACTAAAATGGTTTTGAAATATAAGATTGAAAATATCATTTGATATTGATACGACTATATGAAAGTTGATTCTAGTAGGCGTTTTCTCTCTATGTGATATTATCTCTCAATTCCTATATTAAGATGGTACTAGACAGATGATAGTAATTGTTCACCATATCATACAGATACCCATGGGTCTAATTTTTCTTTTCTTTTTTTTTTTTCTGGGACTTTTACTTGTTTGAAAAAAAAACAATTCTTTTGTTAAACGGTTGCATTCAATGATACTTATCTTAGATAATTTTATTTTGGGTAACTCTATTTGCTGGTAAATACAAAAAATTGTCAACCTTTAGGGATAGTCTAGAAGTCAAGTCTTCTTTCTTGCAAACAAAATATCTTAAATTCGATATTTTTCACACCTTTTAAGGGTCATCCATTTTTGTTCATTATGCACATGTCCTTAAACTAACTCGAATTATGGTGAACAACTCAAAGTTCGAGGGAATAATTGGCATAATCTTGAACATAAATTTATTATTATTTTTTTTGTCTAATTTGACAAACTACAAATTACTGATTTGTTTAACCTCTGGCCAGCCTTCTAGGATGATTTTATCTTCTGTTTTAGAAGAGATAACAATGGCAATCAGTGTCAAATGTTAATTTCACGGAATTGTTGTAATTTATATGTCTGATTTCTATTCAATGGATATAGTTTAACGCTAACAAGCTACCCAGTTGCCGATAATCACCTGATTTAGTCAGCAATTGTCAAAAGAGAAAAACTACGGCAATCATCATTAATCGGCATACGAATTCATATGAGTTTTTATTTATTTTTTATTATTATTATTATTATTGTTTTGTAATTTCCAATTGCTTCAACAAAGTTTTAAGTTCCTGTGGTATAGTCAGTCCGAGGTTCGAGGTTTTATCTAAACCATCTCGAGATCAATTTCTCCGGTCCAAGTAAAAATCACATTTCTTGTGGTGGTTAAGTATCAATATCACGTAGTTCATCGAACAAATAAGTTTAATAATGCAATATAATATGCATGTAGTTGACTAAGTATTCCTATGACTATATATCACTATCACAACTCAAAATTGACAATTAATCAAATCCGTCACAGTAGTAGTTGATGGGTTATATAGTTCTTTAAGTTCAATGAAAATTCAACACAAAACCCAATAAATAGTTATTGATTGAATTACTGATTGGTTTTTCTTTAATTACTCCTGTTAATTACCTATCACCTTTTTTCCCCTTTTAGTTCTTTGGTCCTGCAATTTCATGATTGTTCTTTCTTCGATCCATATTATTTTATTAAGGGAAATGCTACAATGTTTGGTCTTTATTCTAAATCAACAACCGCTGCTGATAAAAATCATATATATGTTTTACTCTCATTCTTGATCAAATGCAGAAATTCTTTGAAGAACTGCNTCTAAAGGCTCATCGCATTGGGTTTGTGGTCATGTATTCATTCACGTTTTTCTTCGCGAATTTCGGGCCTAATGCCACTACATTTGTTGTGCCTGCTGAAATCTTCCCAGCTCGGCTACGATCTACATGCCATGGAATATCAGCAGCAGCAGGCAAGGCCGGAGCCATAGTCGGGGCGTTCGGATTTTTGTACGCCTCAGAAAGCACAAATCCCTTGAACACTGATCCTGGCTATCCAACTGGTATTGGTATAAAGAATTCTCTTATTGTGCTTGGGTGTGTCAGCTTCTTGGGAATGCTTTTCACTNCAAGGATGACCCAAAAAGGCCCGGCACCTTACCGCCCGGCGTCCAATCTGCAGTCACTGGCGTTGCCCTTGTGGGCACCCTCGCTGGCCAGCTCTTCTTCGGTTGGCTCGGAGACAAGATGGGACGAAAGAGAGTCTATGGCGTAACCCTAATTCTCATGGTTACATNATGCCATGGAATATCAGCAGCAGCAGGCAAGGCCGGAGCCATAGTCGGGGCGTTCGGGTTTTTGTACGCCTCAGAAAGCACAAATCCCTTGAACACTGATCCTGGCTATCCAACTGGAATTGGTATAAAGAATTCTCTTATTGTGCTTGGGTGTGTCAGCTTCTTGGGAATGCTTTTCACCNTCTTCAGGTTTTGGTTAGGTTTTGGCATTGGTGGCGATTACCCTTTATCTGCCACGATCATGTCTGAATATGCTAACAAGAAAACTCGTGGCGCGTTCATTGCCGCAGTTTTTGCAATGCAAGGTTTCGGGATATTGACTAGTGGGATTTTTTCTCTAATTGTTTCAACTTCCTTTGATCATGTATACAAGGCTCCTTCTTATGAAACCAATCCGGCCGCTTCCACGGTGCCTCAAGCAGATTATATTTGGCGGATCATTTTGATGTTTGGGGCTATTCCAGCAGCTCTTACTTACTACTGGCGTATGAAAATGCCCGAAACAGCTCGTTACACCGCCCTTGTCGCAAAGAATGCAAAACAGGCAGCACAAGACATGGCTAAGGTATTGAATGTGGAGCTTGACCCTGAAGAGGCCAAGTTGGAGAGATTAACTGAAGATCGAGCCAATTCTTTTGGCTTGTTTTCCAAGGAATTTCTTCGACGACACGGACTTCACTTGCTTGGAACAACTTCAACTTGGTTTTTACTGGACATAGCTTTTTACAGTCAAAATCTCTTCCAAAAAGATGTATTCTCTGCAATTGGGTGGATTCCTAAAGCCAAAGAAATGAACGCTGTTCATGAGGTTTATCGAATTGCGAAGGCACAAACCCTAATTGCACTGTGCAGTACTGTTCCAGGGTACTGGTTCACCGTGGCTTTCATTGATATAATTGGAAGGTTTGCAATCCAAATGATGGGATTTTTCTTCATGACTGTGTTCATGTTTGCTCTTGCCATTCCATACCATCATTGGACACTAAGGCCTAATCGTATCGGGTTCGTAGTCATGTATTCATTCACGTTTTTCTTTGCGAATTTCGGGCCTAATGCCACTACCTTCGTTGTGCCTGCTGAAATCTTTCCAGCTCGGCTACGGTCTACATGCCATGGAATATCAGCAGCAGCAGGCAAGGCCGGAGCCATAGTTGGGGCGTTCGGGTTTTTGTACGCTTCACAAAGCACAGATCCATTGAAGACTGATCCTGGCTATCCAACTGGTATTGGTATAAGGAATTCTCTTATTGTGCTCGGGTGTATCAACTTCTTGGGAATGTGTTTCACTTTCTTGGTGCCTGAACCGAATGGAAAATCGCTTGAAGAGTTATCTGGTGAGAATGAAGAAGAAAGTGTGGAACCAAAGGTGGAGAACAGGACTGTTCCAGTGTAGTTTGGTTGTGTTTTTTAAGTGAAACAGAAGAATTGCAGATCAAGCTACTCAAAAGTTCAAATTTGGTTTCTCGTTCTTAATAATGAACAATATTTCTTCAGAGATGTTGTAATTTGTAGGTAATTATAGAGTTTGTGTTGGATGTTATTGTATGCGATTTACGTGTTCTTTTTCATGGACCTACTCTTTTGATTTTGCTTTGAGATGTTGTTGGCAACTAATTCTACATACAGAAATGNACACTGCCCTTGTCGCGAAGAATGCAAAACAGGCAGCACAAGACATGGCTAAGGTATTGAATGTGGAGCTTGACCCTGAAGAGGCCAAGTTGGAGAGATTAACTGAAGATCGAGCCAATTCTTTTGGTTTGTTTTCCAAGGAATTTCTTCGACGACATGGACTTCACTTGCTTGGAACAACTTCAACTTGGTTTTTACTGGACATAGCTTTTTACAGTCAAAATCTCTTCCAAAAAGATGTGTTCACTGCAGTTGGGTGGCTTCCTCCTGCCAAAGAAATGAACGCAATTCATGAGCTTTATCGAATTGCGAAGGCACAAACCCTAATTGCACTATGCGGTACTGTTCCAGGGTACTGGTTCACAGTGTATTTCATTGATAAAATTGGAAGGTTTGCAATCCAAATGATGGGATTTTTCTTCATGACTGTGTTCATGTTTGCTCTTGCCATTCCATACCATCATTGGACTCTAAAGGCTCATCGCATTGGGTTTGTGGTCATGTATTCATTCACGTTTTTCTTCGCGAATTTCGGGCCTAATGCCACTACATTTGTTGTGCCTGCTGAAATCTTCCCAGCTCGGCTACGATCTACATGCCATGGAATATCAGCAGCAGCAGGCAAGGCCGGAGCCATAGTCGGGGCGTTCGGGTTTTTGTACGCCTCAGAAAGCACAAATCCCTTGAACACTGATCCTGGCTATCCAACTGGTATTGGTATAAAGAATTCTCTTATTGTGCTTGGGTGTGTCAGCTTCTTGGGAATGCTTTTCACCTTCTTGGTGCCTGAACCGAAAGGCAAATCGCTTGAGGAGTTATCTGGTGAGAATGAAGAAGAAGGTGTGGAACTAAAGGCGGAGAACAGAACTGTTCCAGTGTAGTTTGGTTGTGTTTTTGAAGTGAAACTGAAGAATTGCTGATCAAGCTACTCAAACGTTCAAATATGGTTTTCTTGTTCTTAATAATGAACAATATTTTGCTTTAGAGATGTTCTAATTTGCAATTAATTATAGAGTATGTGTGTTGGATGTAATTGTATGTGATTTACGTGTCTTTGTTAATGTATATTTCTTTCACTTTCTCTTTTTCATGGACCTACTCTTTTGATTTTGCTTTGATATGTTGTTGGCAACTAATTATATATGTTTCTTAGCTTTGCTAATAAGGGGATCTCCCTCTTCCCCTTGTACTTGCAAATTAGGTTTGAATATGTTTGAGAGAGGCTCTCTCCTCCAATCTGCAGTTTGAGAGGATCATAGTATAAATTCATATGGGGAGTGGGGGAGGGAACTTCGCCGAAGCTGGCGCCAGCGGCAACACTTTTGGAGCCACCTTCCCCCCCTCCCCCTCCCCCATTGTTGATAGAGCCCACAAATTCAAACAAATCACCTTTTGTTTTTTGATGCTTTGTGTTGGTTGTCGAAGTGCCTTATTTATCATGATCTATATTTTTTCTGAGCCTGGTTTGTCATCAGACAAGTGTATTCCCAACTCAAGTAAAGAAGAGTTTTGAGGGAAGTAGTGGCTCAAGACCTATACTTTCTCCGGAATTCTAATTACTAAAGTTGAAGGTATTGTTGTGCCTTTGGGGTGTTTGACTTATGTAAAATATCTTCCTGCTGCTTGCACAATTTTTTTTTTTTTGATTTAATACAATTTATTTACTTGCCCCTAAAAAAAAAAAGAAGAAGATATTTAGTCTTGTTTAAAATAATAGGGTACACTTTATGCACTTGTATACTTTTTAATAGACAGTAATACAACGCGATGATGCTAATATTGTGTCACCTTATATTAAAAATGGACTCCTACTTAGGGGTCGCCAATGTATTTTTCCCTATTGTTTATGTCATGTAACTGGTTGACAATGATTCTAACAAGCCCTAAAAACTAATTTCCCCACTTATTAATTTTTTTTTTTTCACTTTTAAAATTGANGTTGACAATGATTCTAACAAGCCCTAAAAACTAATTTCCCCACTTATTAATTTTTTTTTTCACTTTTAAAATTGAGCTTTTTTAAGGGTTAGATTTGACTTTCTAAAATGCTTACGTGTTCTAATCCAATCATCATGGTCTGAGAACATAATTTTTCGTGGGACAAGTTTAAAGCTCTTTGATTTATTTGATTTTATTTAAATTATAATAATTAATTTATGTAGTGGTCAACATTGACCGGCGTCTAATCCCTAATTCGGCTGGCAGAAGCGAGTTGTTCACTTATATATATATAAAGAGTTAGCGTGCAAGAAGCGAGTTGTTCACTAATATATATATATATACATAGAAGGAGTTTGCGCACAGGACACGTTAGTTAGAGCCCATTTTCATTAGATAATGAAAAAATTTAAAANGTCAACATTGACCGGCGTCTAATCCCTAATTCGGCTGGCAGAAGCGAGTTGTTCACTAATATATATATACATAGAAGGAGTTTGCGTACAAGACACGTTAGTTAGAGCCCATTTTCATTAGATAATGAAAAAATTTAAAAAAATATAAAATATAAAATAACTTGAAATCTATAATATAAAATAAGGTGAATTTAACAAACAAATTAAATAGTGTTAAATCAATTTATCCGATGGTCAATAAATTATCTCTCAAAAATTCAAATGATCTATGAAATTCTCCGCCTTTTCCTTTTTGGTCCCATTCCCCCCTGCCATTGATGAAGACTTAAAAAAAAACCCACTTTTCTCTTTTTTGTCTCATTCCCCCCGCCGTTGATAAAGACTTACAAAAAAAAAAAACCCTTTCAACCTCGCTGTCTCTCCCTCTCTATCTCCTTGCCTCATGACTCCTCCCTCCCTCGCCAGTTTGATATCCCTTTCTCTCACCACAGCGTCACTTCCACTGCCAACACAGCCGAGACTACATACCAGCCCCAAGCCACCATCTCAAGTAATCCCTCCAACATGTCAACCCCATATTTTCCCCTACCCTCCCTTTCCCTCCATCTTTGTGAACCCCCTCCCCAAACCCTCTATTTTCAAACACACACCCCCCCATCTACCTCGCCTCCCCTCTATGAGCACAAGCACAACTCCCCCTCCCCTACCCCTGGACCACTCTCAGGCTCTCTATTTCAATTTCTGTCAAAACCATTTCCCCAAAATTTTTAAATTTCACAAATCCTTTTCTCACGCGCATGACTCAGTCCCATAAACTTCTGTGCTATCTCCTCCCTGTGCTTATCACTATCTCTGCAACACCAACCACCACCAACAAATTAACACCACACCACTTACAACCATGACCCAGATCCACACTCACCAGTGATGCTTCTCTCTCTCTCTCGCTTCAATCCCACACACATGTCCACCCAGGAACTCCACCACCAACCTTAGACACCACATGTTTGTCAAAAGTTCTCTGAGAGTTTTTACTCAATTTTTCTGCCAAATCACTTCATTTGTTTATTTTTCTCTCCCATTTGTTTGTTCAGTTACCATTCATTTTCCTGAAATCTATCTTTTTGTAGCTATTTTTTTTCCCGTGAACATATGCCTATATGCAACTTAGTAAAGAGGATTTGATAAACTTAATTGCTCAATTGATTGGAAGCCAAACACGCAATAATCATTCTTTACTTTAACTTTGGTTAGAACCTTGCTCTGTAACACAATTTAAACTCTCAAATGGGCACTGGTTATTCTTTCTTGATTTTGTGTTCAATTCAGCGAGATATTTTTTAGTTGTGTGTACCATATACATTAGGGATATGATGTGAAGACTCTATAAAATTGTGAATTGATCACATCACTAGAGATTAGCAGTGGGTATGCTTTAAATCACTTTTTGGTAAGGGGTATGATTGTGTAGGACACTTGATGTATGTAGCATTTTTAACTTTTTATGTTCAAATATTGCCATTAATGTTTGGTTTTCTAGAAGCAAGTGTTCTAGAAGCAACTTTTTATGTTCAAATACTTACCTTTTCAATAGTTGAGAAGTGGGTTGTGCCATTAGTGTTGTTTGTTGCATCNACTTTTTATGTTCAAATACTTACCTTTTCAATAGTTGAGAAGTGGGTTGTGCCATTATTGTTGTTTGTTGCATCTATCATGGTGGCTAATGGTTATGCGTTNGCAACTTTTTATGTTCAAATACTTACCTTTTCAATAGTTGAGAAGTGGGTTGTGCCATTAGTGTTGTTTGTTGCATCTATCATGGTGGTTATATGGCAATGGGGTACAAATACAATGGTTTTGGTTACTCTTGTGGTATGTTTGTAGATTGGTAAAAGTCAATGGTTTTGGTTGTTCTTATGGTATATTTGTAGATTAGTAAAAGTCAGTTGATTTGCTCTATACATCAAGTATGTAGAATCTAAATATTGTTTTCTCATTACCTGTTCCCTTCAAGTGCAACTGGTTAGAGAAAAGCAAGTATAACAAGTATTTACAACAATTGAAATAATTATTTTTCAAACTATTTTCGATATGATTAAAACTTATTTGTTGTATTGCTTCAATGAAAAGAACTCAAATGACAATACTTTTTGTTATCTCCTATGTTGTTATTGCTATGATCAACTTACTTCATCTTATTCCGAAAGTAGTTATTAATAGAGTTATGCATTATCTATAATCTAATTCAATGTAAAGATTTGTGTTTAAATCAAAATATTAAAAGACTATGTCATAGGTCCATGTTTTAAAGTTCTTTCGTTTAGTTGGTATAATCGGCCCTATGATATGGTACAATTATTTTTATAATATTGGTATTTTAGAATAGGTAGAACTCTAAGTTGTGGTGTTAATCTTTAGGGTTGCTACTTTCCATGGTGTTTTACATACGTGTGGCTATGTGCATCATTGACGTTTAAATTTGCTATGAAACTGCTNTTTTTATAATATTGGTATTTTAGAATAGGTAGAACTCTAAGTTGTGGTGTTAATCTTGAGGGTTGCTACTTTCCATGGTGTTTTACATACGTGTGGCTATGTGCATCATTGACGTTTAAATTTGCTATGAAACTGCCATGTGGATTGAGTTAAACTGATTGATATTATTATGTTCTTGAGTTAAACTTGATTGAGTTCAGTAATTTGTGGCTTGATGCGAGTTCGGTAATTTGGTTGGGTCATGCTTTCTTTAAATACATATTTGTTTTAATAATAAGCAAGGATGTACAAAGGTTGAAATTTTTGTGGTTTCATTTTTAGATAGTTTGCAAGGCTTTTTTCTATAAAAAATAATGAACTCAAATTGATTTTAATTGCTGTTAGAAATATTTAGATTACACGATAGCACATCTGTTCTACCAACTTAGTTTGGTCCAAATGAAATAATGCGGTTTGTCGGCAAGAAGTATTAGCACCCCCAGATCCACCGGTCAAGGTACCTTCCTATCTATTATACAGATTTTGCCTCAATGAAAATTTTTCACAATGTCTTTTTAGGGTGTTGTTTTGTTTTTTTGGGCTTTCTTAGTATGAGGGTTTAATTTGGGCAAAAACTTGAAGTCACAAAGCATACCAAGAGGGTTGATTAAGGTTTCTGAATTATGTGAATTTTCAATCTTGACCCATCAACAATTTAAAAAGAAATCGAGATAGTTTACTCTAAAAATAGGACACAAAAGCAATCAACCTGTATACATAATTTATCAAAAGATTTCAAATTGCGTAACTAAAAAAATTGTGATAGTTTTCAAATTGCATAAATAAAAAAAGAAATAAAAAAATTGTTATTCAAAAGATTAATATTATGCAATTAGTGTTCGATTTTATGTTTCATAGTGCCTAAGAGAAAATTTTGAGACCTATTATTTTTTAGGTGCTGTTTACTGTTTTGGTCTCCTAAAAATTGGTTTTGACTTTTGAAAAAGAGAAAATAAAGTAAAATGAATATCATGGATTTATTTTTGGGCTTT